GCACATCACTACAAATCTGATTCGTCTAGTGAACCGCTTTCTCAATCTGTTTACGTAGAAGACTGAGGTAAAGAAACTGCTAAATACCATCCCCTCTCCCTTCCCCAGTGGAAGCTTCCTTAAAAACATCTTTGAAAGTGCAAATCACTTTACCTATCTTTCTGGCTCTCGCATTAGTTTTAGGATTGTATCGCACTCAGCCTTGGGAAGCAAGAATCTGAGATTCATTAAATATCAAAGGCATTATAGCAACTCGCAATACTAGTTCCGATTTGAGAGCTGCTCCATACGAACTAAGAAATTACTCAGCTGCGCAAGTAAAGTCAATCCTTTTTATGGTTTCCTCACAGCCTGTTTGGACATCTCCATCATTCTTCTATACACGTTCCGCTTCCAAGGCAAGACGGACGTGGTAAATGGCAAATATGCGCCTTCACTATCTTCGGATGTAGAACAGAAGCTTTAGCAAAAAACTATATTTTCCTGACGTGTCCGAAATCATCAAAAAGCTTTGAGAAATTTTAAATTAGAAAAAACTCTTGTCTCTTTTAAATAAGCGGATCTAGCTGTGAAACAAATTAAAAAACAAATGAAATTTTTGTAAAAGCGGCCGTCCATATACGTGATCCAGCCCACCTAGTCTACTACTGTTTGAAAGGAAATAAACAAGTTATTCTATCCATAGGTAAGTTGGGCACGTCGACAAGAAGTTACGTTTTAATTCCAACTTTTTGCCACCGCAAATACTGCCAGTATGCCACTTTATTAAACGTGTTCTGCCTTTTTTTGAACCGATACTCTTCGTGTAGATTTAAGATGCGCGATCTGCCGAAATATGAGAGGAACCTTGTAAAAAACGTAAAGAACTTCTGCCACCTTCTAAAAGCTGCAGGGTACTTCCACTTTGCCTCACCCTTTTTTTCAACCTGTCTTCTTCTACCCGTGGAGCCATGATGAGGAAGCAAACTTCTAGTCTATAAAAGCTACTGACTGTGACCTACTGCCTACCAAAGAACAAGAGATTTTCAGATGACGGAAGTCCTCAGTTTTCCAGTGATTTTCACCCATATGTAAAATAATAAACCTCTTATAAAGGTTCTCGAGAAATTGCTTCTTTTTTACCAGTACCAATAAAAGAATATAACTGCTTTGCAACAGTCACTTAACTACGTTTACCAAGGGCCACGCTGGTATTAGTCAGTATTTGTAACAACTTTTGTATTCCACCAGCCACATCAAAAACGAATTAGTTGGCCAACTATTAAATAAAAATTATTTATCAGTGACCTTTCCAAACGCCCTGTCGTTTCGCTTCCTTCTATAGCTTCGAAACTATTTAACATTTCTAGCAAAGAATGCTTAGAAAGTTTTTTGTCAACCTTCAAGGTTTATTTCCGGTAAACTCCTTTTTTTAGGCAAAATTATTTTATTGGACTCGACGTAATGACTCATTTGACCTATACAGTGAACCCCCTGGTATTAGAAATAATATACTTTAATTACTGCTCATTAACCATTCACTGGCGCCTCGAATCTCGACCCTCCAACTTCTCTGGTACGCATATACACTGCACCTCTTTATGATGCACTGCGAATTTTTTTTTCAGTCATGCTGTCAAACCCGTTCAAAGTTTCAAACACAAATTTTTTGTCCAATGATGAAACGTACAATTGAGGATCTATTTGAAGTGCCACCATCGGAACTTCAATCAAACAGTCTGAGGTGAGGTCAGTGTTTTTCGCACAGCCGTGGTGTTGATGTCGTTCAGAAAGAAACGGTGAGATCCTACTTAAGCAACTTTCGTACTCGGCTTAATCACCAACTGTTAGCAGTAGGCTTGTTCCAACAAGTCCCCGACTCTCTTTCAAACGCTCCCGCAAAGCTTAAAAGTAAAAAACATCCAAATTCGTTCATAATTACTAGCACAAATCTCTATTAACAGGTACAATTCTTTAATAATTTAATGACTCATGCAACGTTTACAGACTGGATACCTTAGACGCCTGACAAAATACCGATAAAATTTTCGTAGTTTCTGGGACTTATATGACCAAAATAGGGCAAGGAATATCAAAAACTTAGGAAGTATTTTTGCACTGTTTCAGCAGCATTTTTTTACTGCTAGGTCCCTCGTTATCTAAAACGCCTTTAGTCTTCTAGTTCATCTTGCTGGGTCTTTTATCTATTGTGCTTTAAAAGACTTTATTAAGCCTGTTTGGTTAGCCTAATGCCCGCTGTAAAATGCGTTTCCAATTTCATTCCTAAGAAAAACTATTTTTTACATACTAATTGCCATGCGTTTTAAATGGCCCCTATTCGCAAGATTACATAGCTATACTTGTGGAAGAAAGGGTTACAAACTTTTGAAGCGCCCCTTATTCCACAAAAATCTGGAGTATTCCTACTTTTATAACTGAACTAACTTTTCTCAACACTTCCTAATACCTGGGCTAACTAATAAACATAAAAAAACTAAAGTTACTCCTGCTGTGAAAAGTCAGCAACTTTAGAATATCATAACATTAGTCTGTTTGAAAAGTCGCTGTGAGTTTCCGTAAAAATTCTATAGCCAGTTCACGAAAGAATGGTAACGTAACCCCCCATGGATAAGGCTGAATAATATTATAGATTACGCACCTGACGGCATTCACATTTCCAGTTTTTCGTGTCAAACGGTTCCTTCTTTTTGTCTATCGATTCTTCGTTTAGGTATAACCTTCAAAAATTATAACAAAGTTACAGCTGAGACCAAATTTCTGCACTTTACAAGACTATAATCAGTCTTAAAATTTTTCATTGAATTGAGCTGAAAGTAAGCTTTAACTTTAAGTGGTAAATACGTTCCAAAGAGCAGAAAATTTGATAGCACTAGTTATTTTAACTTGAGTTTGTTAATTTTGGCAGGGGTTCGTGTTAAGACAACAATAACAACTAATTTAAAACATTCAGAAAAATACATAAATTACCTTAGCAAGTCCAAACAGCGAGTGTTCATAACACCCGACTGACTGTAATAATGAATGAGTTTTTTTTCCAAATCAATAACCTAAATTACAATACCAGTTGACAGGAAATACCAGAAAAACAAGGAAAATCAAAAGCCATAATAGATTCCATCTACATGAAATTGCTTATAGACTTAGCTAACGACTCAAAAGGTCGCCTACGGAAAACTGAGGCTAGAAGGCGGCTGCTTTTTTTCAAATGTTTTACAAAACTTAACGTACTGTTAAGCACCAATGTCCTCTAAGATATAGTGGTACAAGAAGTATATCGTAGAGAAATATGTCAACTTTTTTTGTCCATCGCTTTACTCTCGTATACCCATGTCGAGATAAGTTTGCATAGAAGAAAGTAGTGAAAGCATAAACCTAAAAAATCGCAGAGGTTTTGAAAGGTAAAGAAGACCGAACTGTAAAGAAAACGTAAAAAATTGTTTACACTGTTAAAAAGTTTATATAAGCAAAGACGTACGTTTTTTAGGAAAGAAGAGAGAGTTAAAGAAGTATATCAAATGCTATATTCCATCTAACCTTTGGTAAGCTGGAATCTTGCTTTGCTCGTTCACAGATCAGTTCCAAATATGTATTTATTACTTCATCGTTCAGCCAATTAGAATCATAAAGTGTGAGTAGGTCCTTTCGTGTAATCCTACCACCAAATTTTTCATCGTTTGGTTTACCATCGCCCCATACTCTCCTAATTACTTCAAGAGCTTTCTTGTCCAACTCTGAAGCAAAAATGTGTAGTAACGAAGTAAAATATAATACGCTACATGGATAAGTATTAGCATGAAAATATCCGCTTAAGAAACTTCAAAGAAGCTTAAGAAAATTAACTTTACGGAAGCTTAAGAAAATTACCAAACTGATAAAATGTATTAGGTAAAAGGCTTTATTTCCAGAACCTGGAAATTCTTTTTCCCTGATCCCTGCCTGAGCGGTTCCTGAAACGCATTCACTGATGACCAGTTTTTCGATACCCTCTTCAAACAATTCTTCTCCATTTTTAAAAATATCTTTCCTAAAAAGTCACTAAATATTTTCTTAGGAAATGAATAGTTTATTTTATCAGCATACCTAACAGTATACCTCAAATCATTCTCTTCTGGTAAGCTTTTTGTTTCATCTGGACACATTTTTTATTTCTGACTGCTTTGAAGGCGAACTTCTATATAAAGAGGTTTACGCTCTTCGCCTCCACCTTAAAAAGGATTAGACGATTTCACAACAAACTAGGTACTTTTTTATTTTGGTAGACCAAACGTTTAGAAATTTTGTAATTGTCTTTTACATTAGGAAGCTAGTTCTAGGCAGTTTTAAGCACTAGACTTTGTAGTAACTTGACATAACACTCAAGTAGTAAAAATAATTAAACCAGCAGAAAATAAACGAAATCAAAATGGACCTTCGATAAAGCTGCATGATCAATTACAAAACATAACAGTCTTGAGAAACAGAAGTAAGGCACAAAATAACATACAAAGATAAAACCTTATCAGAGAAAGATACTGGCAGCACTGGTGTGTTCAACTGACCGACCACTGAAAACTCCAAAGTGGACCAAGCCACGTCGATGGTTCCAAAAAAATGACTGACTAGTAAGTTTTTGCAGGTGTGCGGCTCATCAAAACAATAATAAGTAGTTTAACATTTGCGACTTTATCCTGTACGGCAAAAAAATCGAGACAGAAAATTGTCAAAAAATTAGTTTTGTCTTACAGGAAATCACAGTGAGCTAGCCCCGCATCGTTTAACAAATG